TCAAATTTAAAGAAAAGCGATATGAGTTTAAATCCCCTCGGAATGAAAATTCGTCTGGGTTAAAAACGAATTACGTAAATGCAGAAGCTCGCCTTAATGAACTGGTTAAAAGGTTGAGAAACGATCCACTGCTTCATCAGCAGTACCAGTCAGCTATAGAACAGCATTTAAAGATGGGTATAACTGAGGAAATTAGTCAAAGTTCTGAAGAAACAAGAAGAATTTATTACATGCCTCACCAGCCAGTTATTCGACCCGATAAACCCGTCAGAGTTGTATTTGATGCATCCAGCCATTCAAAAGACGAATATTCTTTAAATGATTGTCTCTATTCCGGTCCTAATTTAAATCTACCATTCGTAGAGATATTAATACAATTTCGTACACATAATATAGCATTTACTGCCGACATCGAACAAGCCTTTCTCCAAATTTCTCTGTCACCTGAAGATGGGGATGCAGTAAGATTTTTGTAAGCAAATAACCTTACGGATAGCATATTTCACAAGTGCACATCTGTGTAGCCACCGAGGGAGTGGTTTCTAGAATGGACCAATGGGCATTCAGTAATATTTCTCTCATCTCACATTACCCTTCGCGCGCTTTAAGATTTAGGCAAGATGATTGAAAATATTTTGCCACGCAATTTTCTGTACAAAATAATTAAAACATCGTCGATTTCTTCTGAAAATTTTCATTGCGAAGTTAGATCAAATATAAACAATTGCGAAGATTTTACTACCTGGTTGAAAGAATTTGAAATAAATACAAACACAAGCTGGATACTTCGCAAAAATATCCATGTGAAATATTACTTAATAAGTGGTAAATAAGATGAAGAAAGAAATATGGGATAAACATCTGAGCCCAAATGCTATTTTTACATAAAACTACGCATATGAGAAAAATGTTTACACCAATCATATATGTAAATAGAAGTCTGCAATTTTTATTGCAATCTATATGAAAAAGATGAAAGATATTCTATAATAAAAGCCAATGCAGAATTTTATCCAAAGTGAACTTTACCAATCTGCATTTGTATACATTTAAGGTGTTAAATTTCACATTTAATAACTGCTCACTCTTAAATGTACTGTCTACACAAGAAATAATATTAAACAGAATAAATTTATCTTATTCACAACGAATACATTCAGTTTATTCATATATAAATTTTGATGTTAACAATGGATATAATTAGATCATACACAATCTGTACTCTGAATCTTACACTTTCAAAAGCAAAAGAAAGCGAGCACTGAAATAAGAAAACATTAGATTCATTGTAACACTTCCAGTACTTCTCAGCTCAGTAATAAAAGAAACTATACACTTGAATTCTCTTTTAATCCACAGGTGTTTAGTAAATGCATAATATTCGAGGCTAACTGTAGCTTTAATCATTTTCTCGATGTAAAGAGCTATAATATGCCATGAACATCAATCCAAATATCAATGCGTGATAAAAATTGCGAAAGTGAAATGTCAGCAATTAATTAATCTCATAAAACGAAAGCACTACGAGATTTTCTACTATTAAACCATACATTTATAACTGCGAAACAAATGCAAATTAAGACGTAAACAACATAATGCTCGCATGCACGACGATTTAGCGTCACAAGAGCAATAGAAGCTCATTGGTCCATTTTCGAAACTCCTCCCTCAGTGGCTACGCTGATGTGCACTTGTGAAATAATATGCTTACGGATAAGGATGGGAAACTTAACACGAAAGTACTTAGACTGACTCGGTTTTGTTTGGCGCTACATCTAGCCCATTTTTGCTTGCCGCTACAATCAAACACCATAAAATAAACACCTTTAAAGAAACAAATCAGAAAGCAGTTAAACTGTTGAACGAATGTTTATACGTAGACGATTTAATAGGTGGGATGAAGACGAAGCTAAACTTATATATGAAGACATTAGATATATATTGAAGGCTGCTGGTTTTAACGTGCGAAAATGGAAAACAAATTGTGCGAAGTTTTTGACGAATACGAAAATGGTGAAATCCAGAAAGTCCTGGAAAAGCATTTATTGGGATATAAATGGGATTACAAGGAAGATCTTTTGAAGATAGAATCGCAAAATCTAACCAATCAAGCTCAAGGGAAAACAAAGCTAATGACAAAAAGAGAAGTTCTTAAAAACCATTGGAAAACTTTATGATCCTATTGGATTCATAAGTCCATTCACTATTAGAGCAAAAGTACTAATGCGGGAAATTTGGCAACTTGGGATAGATTGGGATGATCCGTTGACATTGGACTTTGAAAACAGAATGAAAAAATAGTCTAAAATGGTCTAAAAATGGTCTGATGGCGATGGAACTTTTAGTGATTCAGAATGTAAACATTCCGCGACATTACTTCCGAAAGACTAACAAGTCTGAATTGAGAGATATTCAAATGCCTTGCTTTACGGACTCAAGTCAGAAGGCATATGGAGCTGTAATATACCTGCGATACGTCACGAAGGACAGTGAAATAGGAAGTAGTTTTGTCATTTCCAAAACCACAGTAACTCCACTGAAGAAGCTGTACATTCCAAGACTAGAACTAATGGGAGCGCTCATCGGAGCAAGATTAGCCTCAAATGTGAAAGGACAGTTAGAGAAAAGGCTCCAGATGAATGTATATTTTTGGCAGACTCTTCTGCGACATTACATTGGATAAAGGGCGATTTAAATAAGTGGAAGGCCATTCATCCAACATCGAATAATGGGAAGAGAGAAAACATCACCCGAGTCTTGGAATTATTGTCCTGGAGATGAATATCCGTCTGACATGCTGACCAGAGGAACGAAGACAAATTCCACGAAAGGAATAACGTTAGCTAAACTACGAAATAGTGAAATATGGTTGCATGAACTTAAGTGGTTATTACAGAGCATCGATTCGTGGCCACTCGCAGAATCAGTAAAGGATTTCAAAGATAATGAAAAGCTTGAACTTCGAAAGAGAGCTGTGGTGAACTCAACAGTCACAGGTGAAAATTCCGTTCAAAACAAATTCATTAAAGGGTATCATTTAGCAATTTGATTATAACTACTGCGAGGTGTGTAAGGTTTGTGAACAACTGTAGAACCAATCCACCATTAAGAACAGAAAGGGTTTTGAATGCTTCTGAATTATAGAATGCAACAAATGTGCTAGTCAAAGTGCACAATATTCTGAATTTCAACCTGAAATTAAGTGCCTGCTGTCAAAACGATCAGTTCTAAGTAATAGTAAGGTTTTATCCTTAAATGTATTTCTTGATGAAGATGAACTTTTACGGGTTGGTGGGCGATTGAGTCTGAGTCTCTCCAATCTTTCAGAAGACCAGAAACATCAACTTCTTTTACCCAAAAGTCATCATTTCACTGAATTACTCATATATTATTATTACAAAAACTCTCTTCATTCGGGTGTTCAAACAACACTTTCTTTTATTAGACAGTTATACTGGATACCTTCCGGACAAGATAGAGTTAAACATGTTAGAAATAAATTCATGACTTGCTTTCGGACAAGAAACCAAACCATAAACCAAATGATCGGAGACTTACCTAGAGATAGGGTTGCAATAACTAGCCCATTCGAAAAAAATAAGACTAGCCTTTTCAGGTCGCGTTATCTTCAAGCCTAACTTGAAAATATCTAGGTTCAGATGGACTATTACGAGTCTTGGACATCAGAACATCAAATGGAATCTTCCGTCGAACCGTCTCCAATATCAGTCCACTCCCATTCCCAAATGATGTTGGGCAACCGTCCAACGGGGGCCGAGATGTTCCGATTTGAATAGAAACTTTTCTCTGCTTCGGAATGGCATCAGTGTGAACTTGACCTTCAATTTGTTTTCATGCACCTCGAATGCTGTTGATGAGATGTAGATAAGATTCTAGATTAGATTAATTTGTTTGGTATTTTAATAAATTCTTTTTTAAACTAGATTGAGTATTTTGATCATAGAATTATTACTAAACGACTATTTGTAGAATTTTAGATGCTGCTTGTCTCATATAGAATTATCATAGAACTTCGGAGATGCGCAGCGCCATTCGTCTATAGATTATTGTACATTAGCGCATATATACAGAGGCCATTTATCTAAGGCAACTTAAGAAACGATTATATTGATTTCATTTTCCAAATTTTGGAACTAAATTTTCTCTATTTAAAGTGGAATAAGCTCAAAATTAAGTTTAAAAATTTATAAAAAAATACGTTTAGTCTTTTAATTGTACATGTAAGCAAAAATATAATTAGTTCAAGAACATTTTGATGAAAGATTTTCGTATGTAAGCAGATAGCGTAATAGCCTCAAAAGGAGAATAAAATTTTGAGAAACTTAAGTGACTATTCGCCATGTCAAGTACCTAAATTTATTAATCGATGAAATACTATCAAATTTAAACGCATTCTAAAAGCAGAAACTGGACTGCAAATTGAATACACATATTTTTAACATAACAACAACTATGCTGTTATGTTTTAAACATTCCTTGCAGTATTTGTTACAGAAAAAGGTAAATTTTATGTTTCGACACATATTAAAAATTAACGGGCATCATCATTATAATAATCCAAATTAAATAATTTAAGTTTTTTTATTCGTAGAATACGATATAATATAAAGAATAGATCATAGTTAAATTCTAAACGTAAAGGTTTGCAGAATATAAATGGGAAAATATTTAACTCGAATGTTTTAAGCTTTTCCATTTGTACAAAAATTTTTATAAATGCGGATAAAATACATTTTAAATATTGTTTAATTAAATAAAAAATATACTACTCTGATGTAGTTTATAATAGCATTTTTGCAATAAAAGTTATTTAATTAATTATTTTATTGTTGTTTAGTCTAAAATAATTAAGACTCTAATTGTGTTCAAAACGTATGAATAAGATCTTTTGGTTTATATATCCATAAGAAAATTTCAGATGTCTGAAATTTATATTCCTGTATAAAATATTATTTAAATATTTTAAATTTTTATTAAAGGAGTTGTCTGCATATCCATCATTACTTCAACAACTAGAAGATGACTACCGTGCACAGCAAGCTGATATTGAAAAGCTTATTGTAAGTGTAGAGAAAGCTCATAAAAGGCGAGATATTGCTCGTAAAGAATTTACGAAAATGGAAGCTGATGCTGTGATGGCTCGTCAGGAAAAAGAAAAAATTCTTGCTGAATATAGCAAAGTACTTAAACCAAAACCGACTGCTGCTGAGGTAAATATTTGTCCTACGATTTATGTATTCTTGTAAAATAATATATGATTTTGGTAATGGTGCTGATATGATAGATTTATTTTAACATCCAACATTTATTTCATTTTAACATTAATTTTGACAAAATTATTCATTTTAAAAATTCTCAGCAAATAAACTAAGGAATCCAGATCAAGCTTTATTACACTCAAATAGGGGTAAGCTTGTCAAATTTTTTCAAATATACTTTTACTAACAATCAGTGTGTCCATCGTTATTGAAACAGCAGACATCTCTATGCCACTGGAAGGATTTTCATGGACTGTTAGCTGATGTCATATTGAAGGAAAAGAATAAAAGAAACGCGACTTTTTCATCTCATTACCGTAGAGACCATTTGCGAGAGTGTCTCAATCAAAATTTACCACCGAGATTAAGAACGTTTGGGGAGAGTATCTCAGTGAAAATTTCCTCAAACATGAGAAAAGGAGATGTCTTAATGCGGTAGCCGGCTGGTTTTCGGATTTAATATTACGTGACTTTTCTTTGGAAACATCTGTCAACGATACCATCTTTACTACCTATAATCTCCGGAATTTTCGCAAACGTATCTCCGATGCTGTGACTCTGGTCGACTGTGATATGCAGTCTGTGGACGAAAGGGAAATTTGCAAAGATATCCCTCCTACCTGCTGTAACATCAAATACAAACACACTCATCCACAGAAGTATTTCTTAAATGATGATGGAGACGTTCAACACTTGTGAAAAGAATGAAAAGAGTCTCGTGAATTGCCCTTTATTTCAATGTAATAATTGATATCGAATGAGTAGTTTTTATGAATATTAAAAGCCTTACACTTAAAGTGGAAACAAATAACCCTGTGGGTGATTTCTAAGTGGAAGACCCGGGACCACACAGAGATGAGAAAATCGTGTGTGCGGTGCCCGCAAGTTTCTGTTTTCAAGTTTTTATGACGTGTCACATGACATGGTTCTGACATCTCAGACGCAATAATTCGTTCCAGTTCGGGGGTCGACGTAGAGAACTCTGCGAAGCTACAGGCTAGGATCTGTACCTAGGCAGTCTCGGCCACGGGGTTATAAAATGTATGAACTTGGTGGTTCTAAAGGCTCTGGGATGTAGTGTGCTGAGTTCACGGGGCAGGGCAGCCAAAAAGAATATCTTATTTATCTTTTATCTTGATGGAACAAGAGACATAAATTCACGACCAGTGTCAAGAGATTTTAGCGTTCTGCCCTGGTTCTGTCGTCAAGGCCACTCGATTTCAGGAGGGCTGACGAACCAATGATGTTGTTTTTCCTCTGATATTGTTCCAAATATAACAAATCAGAGGATGTAAAATACTACTAAAAAAATAAGGAGGCGCATCTAATTCAGTCGGCCGATTATTTCCATCGGAACGAGACCCAGAATGCTCTTGAACTCTCGACTAGAGACCCTCGTTGGCAGGTTCCTCACGTCATGAGGACTATACTTCACTAATGACTGTTCTATATTATCCGTGAATTATATATATATGTGTGTGTGTGTGTGTGTGAAGAGCTTTTCGTAATTGTAATAAATATGTTTTGAGTTAAGAAATGCAGTAAGTATTACGCAACCTCACGAATGTACTAAACATTATACGGAGTCAGATGAGCTACCTGCCGCCAGACACCCCAAGGCTATAGGGGAACTAACTATGCAAAATTATTGACTGATTGTCTAAGTTTGTAAATTTTCTGAGAAAAAACTAACAAAAAAGAAATCAAAGGAAGTAGGAAAATAGCAGACGTTTAGAAATAATAATAATAAATAGGTGCGGGGGAAGAATTATGGAAATAATAATAAATAATCGAAATAATTAATAGTAATTTAAACCTTGAAACGATAATACTCTTTTAACTGGCAGTTTACGAGACGCTTAGAAGATAAAAATCTTATGCCTTACTTAGAATGGCAATACCTGCCGACCCTTGATTGCGTTAAAATGTTTCATGGATACGCCCTTAGTCTCATGAGCACTTAAGTGTGTGTGTTTGTGTGATTATGGCAAAGCCTCGAGGGCTAGCCCTGAGTACTTAAGTGTCTGATATAAATGTCCTCCCAACGGTAACGCTACATTATAATCCCAAAATATTAAACGTTTGTTGCTAAAGAGATTTCTAATACCAACAAAAATTATCCATTTTTAATATTTCAAAATGTTCAGTGAAGAATATCTAAGCAAAAGCTAATAAGGTAAGTTTATCTTCGATTTCGCTGTGATTCGTTTTGTTTTTAACATAAGAACTGTCATATCATCGAATATAAGCCTTGAGATTTAAATTCTAATTCCTCATTAATTTTTTCTAATACCAACAAAAATTATCCATTTTTAATATTTCAAAATGTTCAGTGAAGAATATCTAAGCAAAAGCTAATAAGGTAAGTTTATCTTCGATTTCGCTGTGATTCGTTTTGTTTTTAACATAAGAACTGTCATATCATCGAATATAAGCCTTGAGATTTAAATTCTAATTCCTCATTAATTTTTTCTAATACCAACAAAAATTATCCATTTTTAATATTTCAAAATGTTCAGTGAAGAATATCTAAGCAAAAGCTAATAAGGTAAGTTTATCTTCGATTTCGCTGTGATTCGTTTTGTTTTTAACATAAGAACTGTCATATCATCGAATCTAAGCCTTGAGATTTAAATTCTAATTCCTCATTAATTTTTTCTAATACCAACAAAAATTATCCATTTTTAATATTTCAAAATGTTCAGTGAAGAATATCTAAGCAAAAGCTAATAAGGTAAGTTTATCTTCGATTTCGCTGTGATTCGTTTTGTTTTTAACATAAGAACTGTCATATCATCGAATATAAGCCTTGAGATTTAAATTCTAATTCCTCATTAATTTTTTCTAATACCAACAAAAATTATCCATTTTTAATATTTCAAAATGTTCAGTGAAGAATATCTAAGCAAAAGCTAATAAGGTAAGTTTATCTTCGATTTCGCTGTGATTCGTTTTGTTTTTAACATAAGAACTGTCATATCATCGAATATAAGCCTTGAGATTTAAATTCTAATTCCTCATTAATTTTTTCTAATACCAACAAAAATTATCCATTTTTAATATTTCAAAATGTTCAGTGAAGAATATCTAAGCAAAAGCTAATAAGGTAAGTTTATCTTCGATTTCGCTGTGATTCGTTTTGTTTTTAACATAAGAACTGTCGTATCATCGAATATAAGCCTTGAGATTTAAATTCTAATTCCTCATTAATTTTTTCTAATACCAACAAAAATTATCCATTTTTAATATTTCAAAATGTTCAGTGAAGAATATCTAAGCAAAAGCTAATAAGGTAAGTTTATCTTCGATTTCGCTGTGATTCGTTTTGTTTTTAACATAAGAACTGTCATATCATCGAATATAAGCCTTGAGATTTAAATTCTAATTCCTCATTAATTTTTTCTAATACCAACAAAAATTATCCATTTTTAATATTTCAAAATGTTCAGTGAAGAATATCTAAGCAAAAGCTAATAAGGTAAGTTTATCTTCGATTTCGCTGTGATTCGTTTTGTTTTTAACATAAGAACTGTCATATCATCGAATATAAGCCTTGAGATTTAAATTCTAATTCCTCATTAATTTTTTCTAATACCAACCAAAAATTATCCATTTTTAATATTTCAAAATGTTCAGTGAAGAATATCTAAGCAAAAGCTAATAAGGTAAGTTTATCTTCGATTTCGCTGTGATTCGTTTTGTTTTTAACATAAGAAAACTGTCATATCATCGAATATAAGCCTTGAGATTTAAATTCTAATTCCTCATTAATTTTTTCTAATACCAACAAAAATTATCCATTTTTAATATTTCAAAATGTTCAGTGAAGAATATCTAAGCAAAAGCTAATAAGGTAAGTTTATCTTCGATTTCGCTGTGATTCGTTTTGTTTTTTTAACATAAGAACTGTCATATCATCGAATATAAGCCTTGAGATTTAAATTCTAATTCCTCATTAATTTTTTCTAATACCAACAAAAAATTATCCATTTTTAATATTTCAAAATGTTCAGTGAAGAATATCTAAGCAAAAGCTAATAAGGGTAAGTTTATCTTCGATTTCGCTGTGATTCGTTTTGTTTTTAACATAAGAACTGTCATATCATCGAATATAAGCCTTGAGATTTAAATTCTAATTCCTCATTAATTTTTTCTAATACCAACAAAAATTATCCATTTTTAATATTTCAAAATGTTCAGTGAAGAATATCTAAGCAAAAGCTAATAAGGTAAGTTTATCTTCGATTTCGCTGTGATTCGTTTTGTTTTTAACATAAGAACTGTCATATCATCGAATATAAGCCTTGAGATTTAAATTCTAATTCCTCATTAATTTTTTCCTCGGTTTCAAACACGTTATTGTAATTTGAATATGTTTTGCGTTCTAAGAAAATATTATTAATTTTTTTAGTAGATTATAAAATAAGTTTCATATTCCTATTTCATTTTGAAGCTGTTTGCTGAGAAGATTTATTACCTTAAAAAATCTTGTTAAATTAAAAAAAAAAGGAAGAAGAAGAAAAAAGAAAAAGAAAGAAGAGAGAGAGATAAGAAAGCAAAAGAAAACAGCATGAAAACAAAATTTTGATTTTCATGATGTTTTTTCTTAGAACTGCAATGATTTGTAATTTTAAGCAGTATGTCGTAAATGTTTTTTAGTTAATATCATAAAAGTCATTTCATTTGATATTTCTGGATTTCTCATGGATACTTCAGATTAAATTGGATTTACTCAGTTTCTTATAATGAAATATGAAATTTGATAAGGTCTCTGTGAAATATGTATTATGTGAAACGGGTTAAAAATGTTTTTGTGTTATAATTTCAAACAAAATCACGAGCAAAATTACTAAATTTCAATATGTACCCCCACTAACAACCTAAAAACGTTATAACGATATTCAATTTCGATCCGCACTCTGACAAGAATGTCCGTTGTAACGTTCTCAGTTGCTTAGGTGATTCTTTTGTTGATGTAGTCAAGAATACACGTATTCTCCTGTGCGTCTGATTTTTTTTTTTTTTTTTCATTAAACCCTAGAGCAATAAATTTAGTGGAATAACATTAGGACTTCTTGCGGGCCACGAGGGATAAATCCATTTCTACTAAAACGATAATCTAAAAGTCGGCAATTCAACTCGTCTTGCACATGATTAATTGTTTAAGAAATCGGATGTCATTTAATAATCTTCAGAGAAGTTCAGCGTTTTCCATTTCCAAAACATCTGCAGCTTGCCCAAATACACAATGAAGTTGATATTACTTTTAAAAAAGAAAGAACAGGCTAAAAATCTAGGGCCGTATCAAACATTAATTTTAAGAGAATCTTCAATGTGTTATTGTATTATACGCGGATCTCCACAGCCCTAAATTCGACAATTGTGGTGATTTACACAACCTTTTACGTGCAAAGCTGTATTAATTATTAAATTAAGCACGTGCTTAGAGCATCAAGGAAAGAACTCAGGAAAAGGGCACAGCAAACATTTCCCATTGCCCAGTTTTACTATGAAATGCATGGTGCAGTTTAATCAAGATCGAGACAGGAGGAATGTGGAAAAAAGTTGGTGCAGATGTGACGTCACTAAAATCTTACTTACTTATAAAGTACTTAGAGCCTATAAAAGTCTTATTCCGGCTCTGTTCACATGGAATATGGCCTCATGTGAGAAGAGGATATTATTAAGAAATTTTAGTTCATTGTCAAGTCTTTATTAACATGCTAATAGTTTTAATAATCCTATGCTCGTTGTCCTAGTGTTCGCTTGAATTCAACTGTTTAAGTTTATAGTAATGTAATTCCACTCTCTTTACTTAGAAAGTCCTCCACGAAGGCATCCCTTCCCTTAAGCAGATAGCCCTAGTGTGCTTTGCCATAATTATATACACCAACACACCACTCTCTTTAGCGTGACGTCATGCACAGTTGATTTATAGGAAGATCTAAATGTTAACTGAGCCATAATATGGACTTTTCAGGACTAAGAACACAAATCTGTCGGATTGTTTCAACTTTATCTACTGATCTTCTAGGTCTTTCTGTTATTCCCCCCCCCTTTAGCATACTGCCTGTCTCCTAGAATTAATACATATATAATATTGAATAAAAACTTAACTTTACAGAGACCTCATAAAATTCCAATATTAGGTCTTCGAGGCCTCGTATTCTTCAAAATTGGTTTAAGTTTCAGAGAAAAGAAAGATGGTATATTCAGTGATTTTCGCTGTACCATCTTAACTATTAAATAATGAAGAATGTATGTATGTATTTATATATTTCTGGCATTGTAGAAAATCGGCGGCATACAGATCCACCCAGTTTTGAACACACACAATACTTCACACGGACATGCACACCTCGAAGCGGAATTTGAATTTCGAAATTTTTCTTTTTTTTATTTCGTATTATGTGTGAATTTAAAGTACTTTTGAATAAAGACTTACTGATTTAAAAGCTTTGTGTTGCCACACTGCAAAGTGTAAGATATTTATGTTTCAAATGTAATTCGAAAGCTCAGTGATATGAAAGAACTGTGTTGCCACTTAGCGAAACGCAATATATTTGTCTTTCGAATTTAATAGCATAATAGAAAGTAGGGTATTTATTTATCTATATTTCATCTATATTTGTCTTACAAATTTAATGAAAGAACTCAGTGATTTAAAGAGACTCTTCTGCTGCCCGAATACAAATATTTTTATCTTCCACCCGGCAGTGTATTGTCATTTATCAAAACGTAAGATATTTAATTTTTCTTTCAAATTTCTTCTCTTATTTATTAATTATTAGCGATTTAAGTGCAATAAACTCAGGTTAATGTCATTTATTATTAATTTTATTAGGACCCGTAAAATTACATTAGCTCGATTCATTAAAGCCATAACATATTTTTTTCTTTTTTTGGCCGCGTAATCGGTTACGTTATTTGTAAATTTAGAGGCTAAAAAACATAGTAAATGAGAACGTTTTAGGATTTGTATAGAACAGCAAACTATTTGCGCAAAATATGAAAGAAATAAAAAATTCAAAATTTGGGTTTCGAGGGGCACTTGTTTAGATGGAAGCTGTTTTCTCGAAATTAGGTGGCTCAAATGTTCGCCGTTTTTTCACGGTGCAAGAAATACATATATATTCTATATATATTATTAAATAATGAAGAATGTATATGTATACATATATATTCTTCATTATTTAATAATATAGATAACTAGCTAGAGTCATTAGCATCATTATATAATTTTCTTTCCTATAATAACTATATTAGGCGGTTAATGACTCAAGCGGCTAGTAACATAAAAGTAAAAACTGCTATTTGCAGGTAAAACGTTGAATAAATGGTTCAGACAAATTAAAATATTACATGCAAAATAACAGGCGCCCACTGTGCTTTGATTCAGTTTTTAGTCTTTTATGAAGCAATGACGGCTAGCAAAGTTAAAGCCAGTTTAAGGAACTCAAATTAATAGCGACCATGTGTATAAAAGTCCTTATGCTGTTTTTTTTTTCCTCGCAGTTGTTAGTCGTAGATATATGCGTACTCCCAGTTACAGAAATGTTTCAAATGATACAATATGTTTTGGCATGAAACTGAAAAAGGTCAATTTAATAAAAATTACAAAATCTAACTTATATACGTTTTTCCTGTCCATATAGTTAAATTTATCGAAATTTTATACTCATAAAAAATAAAACACAAAACTTTGACTCCAATATGGCAAAAACAAACTGAAATATATCAGTTTAAAATTTTCCATTTTTGATATTTTCGACTTATTTTGAAGGGTCGATTAAAAATATATTAAAATAACTCGAGGTTTATTTTATTCATTTAAATGTCATTCCGTGATATTCTTTTATGATTTACTAGTGTGTAACATTCTTTAATTTTTAATTTTGTTATATTTGAAATACTAATAGAATTTGTACATAAATATTTTCGAAGTTTACAAATGCTAAAAAATAAATTATTAATATTCTCATGCGGTTTTTTACTGCTGAATCATACCCAAAACTCGTTATACTAGAAATATTTTTCATTTATAATTAATGAAAATAATGTTACAAGTTAGCGATGTCCCAGTACTGAAGCCTGCCATTATTTTCTGCATCATGACTTTTGTATCATTCTGTGAATAAGATCTCCTTATTGAAAGACACAGCAGCCATTCTGCGCAACAATGATCTTCGCTAATCTATTTGCATCGGAAACCTTTTTTCAAAACTGATGATTCGTGTTTAGTTACGTACGAATGCAAACATTTCACTCTGCAGCTTGTATACAATCCCTGAACATGATCTCACGTTTTAATATGTAGCTTGATCAATTTTTGTCGTGCGAAGCTAAGACTCATTATCGTCATTATCGTTTAGATAATATTTAGAAAATATGATTATAAAGATTGGAGGACTGCATAGAAAGTTTGCTTTCATAATACTCATTATCGTCATTATCGTTTAGATAATATTTAGAAAATATGATTATAAAGATTGGAGGACTGCATAGAAAGTTTGCTTTCATAATACTCATTATCGTCATTATCGTTTAGATAATATTTAGAAAATATGATTATAAAGATCGGAGGACTGTATAGAAAGTTTGGTTTCATAATCTTTACAAAACTGAATTTTCTAATTTAAAAATACCACATCTGAAATATTGTCTTTATTTAGAGCATTTTTTACAGGAGGCTCTACGACAAACAGATGCAAAAATAAAGGTCCCATAAGAAATTTGTGAATACGGTGTAGATGTGCATTGGAGTATTCAGCTAAAGAAAACAGAAATACAGTAGTTGCTCATTACATTATATAAATCATCGTGAATTTTATTGTTTATATTATTTCTGGACCAAAAAGACAAAACTATTGGAGCAAATACACAAAAATCACTAAGCTGCAGTGTTCTCGCTCTGGACAATTGACATTCTACTGCTTGACATATTAATAAAAACTTTCCTGAGGCAAAAATAGTTATATCAATAGATTTTCATCGTTATTTAGTGTAACAAAATAATAAACATTATCTCTAATGCAAATTGTTAAAATTACGATACAGTGATTTAAAAGCACTCATTGTTTTATTTTTCAGCTAACTTGTAAGGACGTGGCATCAAGGTGTGTAGTGAATTTTCAAAATAAAGCAACAAAATGCCACCGATGTAGCGCAATATAGAGTGACATTGCATGGTTTTACAAATTAGCAGAATTTTAAATTTCCTTTTCCTGCGTTTACTTAATACAGGAAAGAGACAGATTTCATTACGAAAATGTTCTACATTCTACATTTATATTAAATAAGTAGTTCCGATTTCTGTTTTAATTTCTTTCCATATCACCTCTTAATAAACTTCTAATTATTATCAACTTTTTTTTATAATTTTGACTTTTATAATTTGGTAACTATTGAACTGTTTGCCTTTCCGGATAACGTAGATCTTTATAGTCTCACTTTCGCCAGCTTTGTTAGAGAATATCACATTTGAAACCCCTGTACTCCGACTGATATTGCAAAATCGCTTTAAAATTAAGAAGTACCGAACTCCGGCTGAATTTAAACACTGTCTGTCTTTCTAAAGTCTGATTGGTATTTAATTTACTACAAACATCTAAAGGTATAATATTGAAGACGAAAGAGACATATATTGCTATTCGATCGTTGGAAAGACGATTCAGATATTTTTATAACTTGATTGATATTCAACTACTATGGCACTGGTGTTCTACATACAGCATTCTTTTAGGAGCTCCGAATATCCTACTATCTTGTTTTTTGAGAAAAATCGTTGTAAGGAACTTTGTAAGTGCTAAGGAAGTTGTAAAGAATAAGTTGATTTTTAGGCTCTTAAATTGTAATCAGATCCTGCTAATATAATGTAAGAATTTATTTATTTATTTCAGAAACATTTTGTGGAGTTAAGGGACACAGCTGCAGCTGAGAAGTGGAGACAACTTCGAGTGGAACAAGAAGCAGAACTAAAAGCCTTTCATGAAGGATTTGAAAAAATTAAAGAAGCTATAGGAATCTCTGATATCAGTGTAAACTTCTGTCTGTATTCATCTTAATTTTCTTATTGATTTCTACTTATAATAAAATACACACATTAAAGTGATAAAGGTTTTGTACAGAATTTTAGAAAATCGCTGCGCTGTCAATGATAAGGTAACAACTATGTTCCTGGAGAAACATTTTGTTTTGTTTACATAAAAAGACTGCATACTTATCTAGTATTTTGCCTAAGTATTGATTACTGCTGAATTTCAAAATGAATGCAAATCTAGTAACTCAGAAAACCTTTACACGGAAAGACATTTGGGCTAGCAGGCCAAAACTCTCAGACCGAGCTGTCCGTAATTCTTCTAATTTTATAAAAATAATAATAATAATAATAATAATAATAATAATAATAATAATAATAATAAAATTGCTTGCCACTTAAAACTGCATAAATTCTGAAGTGGGTGAGCCTCGTAGTGAAATGATGGGAAAATATAAATTAAGTAATATTTCGCGAGCAAAACTTAAATACAATAAATACAACAAAGGAAAGGGCTCTCTAAGAAATATCAAATTTGAGTCTCTTAAATTCTTTTTGGTATTTAATGATTTTAAATGACAAGAATGATTTTTAGGATTTTATCTGACTAATATATTCTGCGTAGAGTACTTCAAGAAGCATTCACAGAAGAACGGAAAAAGAAAGATGAACGAAAACGTTAATCACCGGTGAGATTAGTGTATCAGATTCCGTTAATCGGCAAACCGAATTCGAGCTTCATGACATCGTAGTTTTGCCCAATATTTGTCATAAAATCCAGAACATTTCCATCAGGCTTTTAAACATTTGTATGCAGTTTTCTGTAGATGAAAAAAAAGTTTAACTTCTGTTTTAAATATTTAGTGTAAGTTTATTCTCTAAAGCAGCGTTTCTTAAACTGCGAGACCTGCAGCAGGGGGTCGCCGAAAATTTAGCAGTTTTGATATTCCTTTAACTTATTATAATAACTTTACAATTACCAAATATTTTTACACAATGTATCTGAAAATAGATAAAGATAAGACAATACAGACAAAGAAAAAGGAAACGTTTCGATGCATTCTTTTTATCATAGGAAGGTTCGTTTTCCTTTCTTTTGCACGTGACGCTGTCATCATTTCGTTTGTTACTTGATGAAATTGTCACATTGTTCTATGTCTTAATAGAAATTAAAGTTAATGACCTAAAACCCCAATAGTATATTACAGTACAAGTGAAAAAATTGACAGTTTCACACACGCGTGTGTCGGATTTCCGCAATTCTTATGGGGTCACACAAAATTTTCATAAATTATAGGGTCCTGGGGGTCGCGAAAAAATCTCAGTATAAAAAGGGGTTGCGACTGAAAAACGTTTAAGAAACCCTGCTCTAAAATGAAGAATTCATTTTTTGAAAATGCATGAATGGCTTCGGATTATCCGTGCTTTAATTATTACGGATAATTGGGAGTTTATTAGATCTTAAAGTATTTAGATTAAAAATAAGTATTTATAAATAGTGTAGAAACCCTAGTAACAGCTGCATGAAATAAAAGAAAATCTAAAATAATTCATTTTCAGGACGCCGAAGCAAGATTTCTTTCCCAAAAGTCCACAAAAGATGAATTAACTGATTTGGTGAAGAAAACTGAGGAAAAAATCATGAACATGAAAAATGAAGTTCAAGACCTAAGAAGTAAAAATGAAAGTTTACGAGGATCGGAATTAGCATCACCTCAAGTGTATGTATAAAATAAAACACTGTCAGATTTTTGTTTTTTAAACCTAGACTGTCCGCTTGCATTGTCAACCGCCTACATTAGTTATTATAAGAAATAAAACATTATATGCAATGATTTTAATGTATCTAGCTAGCGTAATTTCGTGTTTCCAGCATAGTAATTAAAAATAACGAAAACGAATCTGCATCTGTTCCTTTTGTTGCTTAGTTTGCTAATTAATAATAGAATAAATTTGAAAGAAAAATTAAATATCATACGTTTTGGTGAATGATGACAGACTGCTACGTGGAAAATAAAAATATTTTAATTCTGGTAGGGGCAAAACATCTCTTTTAAATCACTAATTTTGTTGATTAAATTCAAGAGATACATACATTTCCTTTTGCCAAGTGGCAGCACGCTTCTTTTGTATCGCTGAGTTTTCTCATGAAACTTAAAACATAAATATATTGCGCTTAGCAGAGTGACAACACAAAGCTTGTACACTGTAAAAAAAAATCTGTAAAGTTACTAAGAAAACTCATGGAAACTGGGATGCCATGGGTTATTTGAGTAACAGAAACAGGTGTTTTCTTTGTAACATTACAAGAGTTTTGCCTGTAATGGTTACAGATCTTTTTCTTGTAATATCACAGCATATAGTTATGTAAGTAGAACATATTTTTCTCATGTAAATTCCCAAACGATATATCTGTAATGGTTACAGATTATTTGCGTGTGAATATTACAGCAAATAATTATGTAAAAAGAACATGTTTTTCTCGTGTAAAATCCGAAACGATGTTTTTCTGGTTACATTATTTGCGTGTAAAAAAAATTATGTAAAAAAAAACATGTTTTTTTCATGTAGATATATCTGTAACCGTTACAGGTTATTTACTTGTATTATTATAGCAAGTTATTATGTGAGTAGAAGATACTTTTCTTACGTAAAATTCCAATGGTTGTATCTGTAAAGGTTTCAGATTATTTCCTTCTAATATCCCATTAAGTAATTATGTGTGTAGAATATATTTTTCATAGATTGAAATACTAAAGGATATGTTTATAAAAGTAGTAGATTTTTTTTGTCTAAAATGATGCTTATTATAATAAAATATATTGAAATCAAGATGTTTTGAGTAAAACAAATTTTCATGTGTATATCATTATACAGATATATGCAAGTGAAGCATAATAGTTTGGCTTTTTAAATTAGTCCAATTTGACCTCAGAATAGCATTAATTTAAAAGAATGTGCTTTTCAACAGCATTTAATGTTCTTTTTACAAAAAGTAACATTAGTCTGTTGCAGAGTATTTTTGTTTTATGAAGAGAAACTTATGTCTGATATTATTGAAAGGCCTTTCATATTATCATTTGATTAAGTTTAAAAGTTCAAATTGATATGCTACTCCTTATATTTGCCCTGTAAAATAGCTGAAAAAAATAGTATGTTTTATTTGCATGTTAGTGTCAGTTAATAAGATATGTTCTAGAACTTTCTTTTTAGTAATTTTAGCTAAAATAGACACATGTTGCTTTAGATTTAACTTATATGAGTGAACGTGTTGCATGTTGATATGATCATATTATTACAGTAAAAGACATTTTGTGAAATATTTCTATGAAGAACTCAGAACAGCTGTTCTTCATATTTCAAAAATATATTCTCTCCTTCTAAAAAAATGACATTTTCAGTAAATTGAAGAATTCAAAACATAGCAATGAACTTCATTTTTGTTACTACAAGGAATTCAAATTTTGTTCATACGCTTGAATTACAACGTCTAACTAATTTTTTATTCTTATCTACACTCAGGTTTGTCAACAGTCTGCTATTGTTTGAAATAATGCATAACTTTTTTACTTACCTTCAAATAATTTCCTTGCATTAACAGATAGAAGTCTTTCATTAAAAACCTAATGTCATGCTTTTTGAATAAGCATAAAACTTGCCAACTGACCTTAATTTTTAAAGCCTTGTTTCCCTTAAAATTCTTAATACAATTATGCCTTTAAGAAATTTATTTCTAAAATTAATACTTTCAGTTTAGCTTAAAATTTAATGCATTTTAATTTTACCTATAATTTTTTACAAACATAATATGTAATAAATCTAAGCTTAATATTTACCATTTCGAAAGTGATACTAAAAAAGTATTCCTAGATATTATAAATTTCGAGATTAGCATACAAAATTGTGAAATAAACATGTGACAACAGAAAACAAAACTTTATGCTCTCTCTATATACAGCATGTTAATAAAGAAGTTTATTGAATTTATAATTTTATTGTGAAACACTATGAGGCAAATAATATGCTAATTAAAATACAGAAGTAAAAATAATTTATTACTTAATTCATAAACTTTACATAAAACCTGAAAAAAAGAATTAATTAAAAAAATAACATAATTTAATAAACATTTCATAAAAATTCGTTTCGACTGCTTGGAAAAAATGAATGGTTTTTCTCCTCTTTGTAAACCATGTCTCCTAAATAAAGAAAAAAACATTTCTTTTAAAATCATAATCATGCTCTTAAAAAGCTTATAAAAATTATTTTAATAGATGTTTTAAACATGTGCTTATATAACACTTTAAATTTTCTTATTGGAATGTAGGTTTCTTTTAAATAATAATACTATGATAGTTACCAGTAGTTCATTCATGAATATTTTTGATTGGTTATGATCTTATTGTAATCACATCCTTCAAAATTAAATTGATTGCTTAATTTCCCCCTTGATTTTCATACTATAATATAAAAGGAGGGAAAAAAAGTCTGCAAGTAAACATAACTCCTCTTTCTCTCTCTGTATATAGACATGTATCTTCGTGTGCAACTAAGCAAAACAAATGTGACTTTTTCTTCTTTAAAAAAATTGTGTAAATAAATAGGATGAGAATTAAGTTCATTTTAAAGACTTATGACACATGAAATATACATGATCAAAATAAATTAGAAAATTAAGTTCAAATAAATTTTAAGCTAAATTACGTGTTGCAATGTAAGTTGCAATAATTCAGTTGTAATAATTAATACTAACAAAACCAATCATCATATTCCCATTCTGCAAAGTATAAAAATTCTTCTGCAAAACTGAAAAAATGACCAACACTTTGGCTTATTTGATAACTTTCAAATTCACTCCTTTGTTTGCATTTAGAATTTATAACTTTAATTTTCCACAGAAATTTGTTTTTGATTTTAAAAAACTTCACTGGCATAATTTCATTCACTTCAGCATATATTAATAGATGCAGAAGGTTTTTGTACCTTACATAATTTTAAATCTTATGTAAGCTAACGTAATTAATAACAAAATCAAAACATAGATCAGAAACAGCATAAAATTTAATTAATAATTACTACTAGTGTCACACAAAATGCTATGAAATTAATTAATAAAATAAGAATGAGATAAAATATATAGAATTAATATTCCACATGTGTGAAGTTTGGAAGTTTTACGTTAAATATTTTTTTTAATTAAGTATTTTTTAAAAATGACCCCTTAAAGCATGGGACCTTTCGTAATTAGAACTTGCAAATCTGCTTCGCTAGTCTTTCATAACATTGCTTTTCTTTTATTAACAAGAAATATTGCATTCAGTATTTAATTTAAGATATCAAAAAATAATGCTACTGAAAGGCATGAATACTTACTTAAATTTGAAATTAATTTGGTTGACTTAAAATAATATTTAAAAAAAATAAATCTTCATATATAGGTCTAAAAATCAGACCTTATTAATTTTCTTTTATTTGAACGATATCTGAATTCTGCCTTAGTTTGGACTAGTAAATCATTGGGCAATTAAATGCCAAGCTATAAGAGAACTAATGTAGTTTACAAAATGCACTGAATTTTATTTCCGGTATTAACTTTCAAAGAAAGTAAAATTTTCTGCATATTTGCATCATTTGGATTGATAAAATATGGCAAAGCACGCAAAGGCTATCAGCCTTAAAGGAAAGTATATATTCATAGGACGGTTTTGTAAGGGTAAACGTAGCTTGCATTTCCATTTATTCATATGTGTATATATATATGTATATTTACATTGTTAATGTTAAAATCAATGCTTCATTAAAAATTCATTATTATTTTATTTTTAATACTAACATACAGATACAGAATTGTGTTTAAATTCCAATACACAATCATAATTTATTTTTAAAAAAACTTATTTTATTGATTTATATATTATTTGGAGAATAAGAGAAACATTTGTCATGAATAAGAGAAACACATGAATAAGCGAAACATTTGTCAAGAAATGTATTAAACTTGTATTAGCAGATTCATACTATCCTAGTAACAAGACTATCATACTTCAAAACTGTATTAAAACTGGGCAAAATAAAATCAACATAAATTCTACATTAAATGTTTAAAAACTTATAAGTATGCAATGGTAGTTATATATACAATATAATATATGTTGTCATTTATAAAATATTAATGAAATGATATTTTGGAAATAATGCACAAAATTTTAGTTTTGTTTTATAATTAGTTTAAGGAATTGTTAGAAAAATATTTTAGGTCATTTCCATTTTTCCCCTGTTGATATTGGTATATTAAAATATATGGAATAATTAAGTTGCATCTAGTTAGTAAAACAAAACATTACGAAAAGTATGATACGGCATATTTTTAATCAATATAATAATTACTTCATTTTGGAATTATAATACATTTTCGTAAGAAATTAATACCATTGAAAAAAATAATAGTATTACACTAAAGGAATAAACGAGATTCTCGACCGCGTTGTTCAAGTTTTTGTAATTTTACTTCATAACACACTCGTACATAAACATATTTAGACTGAATTATAAACCAAGGTATAACTAATTAGATAATCCTAGAAAAAGAATAAACTAAACCTAGTAAGCAAAAAAATATATACATTGCATTCAAGTTCCAAGTACCGCTGGATGCGCCGCTGATTAACTTGCAGGATTTGCAAGTTTTGTTTACATTACATTCAGAATTCTAAATGTTTATATAAACGTTTCTCGCAAGGCCTGCCGGGAAAAAGATGTCAAACGTTCTTAGGTCAGACGATTGGAAAAGAACGCTAAAATGATTAGTTTTGTTTTCAACAACCACATTACCATTTCAATTATATACCAC